CATAAGGGGAATGGAAAGAATCTGTAGCTTACAATTCTCATAGCAAAAAGACTATAGTAGGATTTCAATGACTAGTCCGTGAAAGTATTGTGTGTACTATTGGCTAAGGGTTCTAAGTGAGATCACCAAAATGTAGCTTTTATAGTTTTTATGCTTCATTAGCTTGTTTTCATCTACTACTGTGGAACCAGGTTCAGTAAGGAGAACAAGGACAACGTAGATCCTTACTTATACTTGCCCTTTGGAACCAGACCCAGACACTGCATTGGCATGACGTTTGATCTCACGAGCATGAAACTTGCTGTAGTCAGAATCCTGCAAGCGTTCTCCATCAAACCTTGTAAAGAAACACAGCTCAGACAGTGAATTCTCTGCATAAATAATATTTTATTGGGTGTGTTTTAAACTGAGTGACCTATATACAAACATGTGCTCATTCATGTTGTAATAAGTTTTTCCATTGTCCATAAAATCTTTTTGAAGCTATCTATGAACATCCATTGCCTTTCAGTTCTGGAGTTCTAAGTGGGTGGTTTTATAAAGACCAATTTATAAAGATCATTTACAGTAAATACAATTAAGTGTGATAGGAGTACGTGCAGTCCATTTAAACTAGAGCAAAGTTTTAAATTCTGTTTCCAGTCAATTGGAAAGATGGAGTATTGTGCATAATCATGTAGTATAGTGATGGCCGTGTTCTGACTTTTGAATGATGTTATCCTCCAGCAAAACTTACAGAATTTTTCTCATGACAGTGGTACTCATCCACCACCTGTACATTGAAATCGTCAAAAACCAAACGAAACCTATTGCTGTCAAGTCAATTCCGACACTTAGCGATCCTTAGGACAAAGTAGAACTGCCCCCACAGAACTTCCAAGGAGCAGCTGGTGGATTTGAAGTGGCTACCTTTTTGTTAGCAGCCAAGCTCTTAACTGCACCATCAGGGCTCACCAGGGAGCTTAAAATTTCCTGATGCCTGGGCCATTTCAGAAATTCTATTATCATTAGCCCAGAGTGGCTTTAAAAACTCAACTGTTGATTCTCCTATGTGGCCACGCTTCCAAACCACTGATTCAAACAAAGCTTTTCTTTCAGATTGGGAGTAGTCCCACAATCCAGGGCCATCCTGGCTATTTCACCTCCCTTTCCAGCATCTCTGCTCCAGGCACCCTGGGCTTTTTTGACAACGTAATGATAGCTCTGCAGAGAGGAGTTTGACATGGTTCCCATTTTATTTGTGGTGTTAGGGCAGCTATGTAGCAGTCCTGTAGGAGTGTACAAACAGGGTACTCAGACCTGAGAGAAAGCAGACCTGTGGCACATCTGTGATGGGGGAGTATCCTCCCTGGCCATTTCCCAGTGAAGAGTCGGTGCTACTCACACTCTACCACAATTTGCTTGTGCTTCACTCAACTAAGATCAGAATTTTACAGTGTTGGTGGTGCCAACGCTGGGGTAACAGTGCACCAAGAAACTCCAGCTACTAGTGAAAAGACAGTACATCATCAGAAGTTCATTATTTACATTACGCTTGAGAGTCACGAGGAGATGTTAGAAAACAAAGGCATAATGCTTCTTAATCCCTCTTCTCATCATTAAACTAGGTTCAATTAGGAAGTGTGACTGAACTATTTGGAAGTCAGCGACTGCCTATACAATTAAAGTGTATAATACCTACTTATGATTACCTTGCAAGTTTCAGTATACACAAAACTAACTTTATATGGCTTTTCAAGAAGTTTGAAATAATGCATAAGAATCTACTGTAAAATTTAAAAGCTCCTTAGTTTTACTTATAATTTAAATTAAAAAAAACACAAACCAACTTGATTTTGTTTGTAAATGTTTTGTTTCTAAATATTTTGTTGAATGAACAGATGGACGAATACTTGCACTGTCTAGTCTTGTCACAGCTTATACAATCGGTGTAAAGAAAACATATATGATCGCAAAACTAGTGTTTATGTGTTTGTAGAGCAATATTTTCCTTACTTTGCCTACGTTTGTTGTTGTTGAAGCTTCATTTATCGGTTCTCAATATGCCTGTTTCACCATTGCAGATCCACTTTAAATTAGGCAAGGAACCACTTATTTCCCTGGAAGTACCTGTTGTTATAATGTTTGAGTAAAGAGATGGAACCAGTGGGCGGGGCCAAGATGGCAGCATAGTCAGACAGCTTCCTATATCCCTCTTATAAAAAAGACCTGGAAAAACAGGCAATATGATTGTATACGAATATCTAGGATCCCTGAACAAGGCAAAGTTAAGGAATCAGGCTGAATGGCGGGGGGAGAGGGAGACGGTTTGGAAGAAGTGAGCAGTGCTAGAGTGGTGGTGGTGGGATTGCAGCTCTTCAGCCACTCCAGGTTCGCAGTGAAGCAGACAAACAACTGTGCACGCACTTGGGAATCAGTTTCCACATCAAGAGAGGTCCAGCAGCAGAGATTCTGCTTGGACACTCCAGAAAAGCAGCTCCCAAGCAGCTGAAGATAAGTACATGTGTGCGGTCTTTTGCGAGGATTCAAAAAAATAAAATAAAAAGCCCATTTGGGAAAAACCTCTCTCCCTTTTACCTTCTCCCTCCCTGCTCTGCACTGG